GAAGCAAAGATGATCACGAACCTTTAGGGTGGAGTCAACACAGCGATGAGCGACAGCGTCATCCAGGTGTCTGCGCATCCAGCTGGGATTCTAACCTAAACCAGAATCTACTAACGATCCTACAACCACAATGCTTTCATTTTCATTCCGGGCTTTTCTCAGTAGGTTCTGAGCACATCGCTCTGACTTCAGATACTGTAAAACTATTCTAGTAATATTTTCCAACAAATGATCACTTATGCGTACTTTCCTACCTCTAGCTGCTTCATGGCTTTTTATACCATATTTTAGAGATGCATGATATATCAGTATTAACATCATTTTAAAACAATGGCTATCGATATGATAAGTAAAACTGGGCTAATTTTCACCACCAGTATTTATTTATATCCAGTTTCTGGTGATTTATCAATTCACAAGAACGCGAGTACGGACTCGTGTCCTCACCAAGTATGTCCTTGAGAAGAACACAGGAAAGTGTGGACTCTGGTATAACGGGAGCACGCAGCATAACTATGGGTCAATTGCAACAGAAGCGTACTGATGACATCACCACACGCTCGGCTCCTCTGGAGCTGCATTTCTCCTCCTGTTATTAATAGTCTCTAGATAATAATAAATTATGACTTTTTTTATTCAATGTGGGAATAATAATGAACACAAACAAAACAAAAAAATTTCTCCATCAGAGCCAGCAGTACTTCACACATGGCTATGCAGAGAGAGGGCTGCTGCAGACCGGCTAACGGTAGCCCTGGCTGCTGGAGACGGGCCAACATTAGCCCTGGCTACTGCAGACCGGCTAACGGTAGCCCTAGCTGCTGCAGACGGGCTAATGTTATCCCTGGCTGCTGCAGATGTGCTAACGGTAGCCCTGGCTGCTGTAGACCAGCTAACGTTAGCTCTGGCGGCTGCAGACGGGCTAACGTTAGCCCTGGCTGCTGTAGACGGGCTAACGTTAGCCTTGGCTGCTGTAGACAGGCTAACGTTAGCCCGTCTACAGAAGCCAAGGCTACCGTTAGCCCTGGTTGTTTTTTCATGGTATGAAAATTGGTTGGATGCATATAGGATATAATATCAGAAAACTATTGAACTATTGACTGCTCCAGGACAAGCTGTACCAGCTCAACGTGCCCAGCTCCCTCTGCAGGTGGATTACTGACTTCCTGACGGACCGGAGACAGCACGTGCGGCTGGGAACGACTGTCTCGGACACACGGACCATCAACACCGGATCCCCCCAGGGCTGTGTCCTGTCCCCCTGGCTTTTCTCCCTGTACACCAACTGCTGCACCTCTAGCCATCAGTCCGTGAAACTGATCAAGTTTGCGGACGACACCACCCTCATCGGGCTCATCTCGGACGGTGATGAGTCTGCCTACAGGAGGGAGGTGGACCGGCTGGTGTCCTGGTGCAGCAGCAACAACCTGGATCTGAACACCCAAAAGAGAGTGGAGATGATCGTGGACTTCAGAAAGGTCACAGCCCCACCGTCCCCCCTTGCCCTCACAGACAGCCCTACCCCCATCTCCAACGTGGAGTCCTTCCGCTTCCTGGGCACCACCATCACCCAGGACCTCAGGTGGGAGTTGACCATCAGCTCCCTCGTCAAGAAGGCCCAGCAGAGGATGTTCTTTCTGCGGCAGCTGAGGAAACTTAAGCTGCCAACCCGGATGTTGGTGCAGTTTTACACCTCCATCATTGAGTCCAACCTCACCTCCTCCATCACCGTGTGGTACGCTGGCGCCACCGCCAGGGACAGATACCAACTGCAGCGCATTGTGCGCTCTGCTGAGAAGGTGATCGGCTGTAAGCTGCCGTCACTCCAGGACCTGTATGTCTCCAGGACCAGAAGGCGTGCAGGTCGCATCACAGCCGACCCTTCTCACCCTGGACACAGACTGTTTGAACCTCTTCCCTCAGGGAGGAGGCTACGGTCCATACGGACCAGAACCTCCCGCCATAAAAACAGCTTCTTCCCCTCTGCCATAAGACTCATGAACACTATATGTCAGACTCCATAACCTGCCCATGCCATTCACACTGCTGTATTGCACACTGCTCTATTTGCACTACCTTGTACATTTTACTTTTTAAATTTATCCATATTTTTATCTTAAGTGTATATATTAGTATATTTTTTGCATGCCTTATACCCTAGTGTTTTTAGAGATTTTTATAATTTTATTTACTATTTCATATATGTTTCATGTTGCACGACTGTACCACAAAAAATTCCTAGTTGTGAACTTCTTCACTAACAATGGCAATAAACCCGATTCTGATTCTGATTCTGATTCATAAAAGAGATGTTGTTACTCGATATTGTTGATTTAAATGTCTGTGAACTTCTAGTATAAATGGTTAAATCTGTAATCATTAAAGTAAATTTTTCTAAATCTTCAAACAGAGAATGTTTTAGATGCTTTGTTCTCCAAGGAAGATAAAGACTGCCGACTAGAAACCCAATTAGCTCCGTTTCAAAAGTAATCTAAACTATGACTTTATTACACGTTAAATATTCAGTGCCACTTAACAAAAGGCTCTTAACAATATGATCAATATTTTATAGATGTAATATTCATTGATCTGTAAAATCTATGACTTTTTGTTTTCCACTCAACATATATTGCATGTTAAATTTTTTGCAAATTTTACCTACAAAGTAAAAACTAGTGTTATACCGATACAGATACCAATATATCGGTATCGGCGAATACCAAAAAATAGGGCACTGATATCATTTTTAGAGCCAAAAGTTTATTTGATTGTCTCCCATTCCTGGTAGGCAATAAAAAGTTTTACTGGGTCCACTTTTTTATTTGTCTTTTTCCTGCTTCACAAAGGTAGGCAGCAGCTTGATAAAGCCATTATGGAAACTATTTTATATCCAAGTAGTATGCAGTTCTTCATATACAGGTGCTGGTCATAAAATTAGAATATCATGAAAAAGTAGATTGATTTCAGTAATTCTATTTAAAAAGTGAAACTTGTATATTATATTCATACATTACATACAAACTCATATATTTCAGATGTTTATTTTGTTTAATTTTGATGATTACAAATGACAACAAATGAAAATCTCAAATTCATCATATCAGAAAATTAGAATATTACTGAAGACCAATAAAAACAAAGGATTTATAGAAATGTTGGCCAACTGAAAAGTATGAACATGAAAAGTATGAGCATGTACAGCACTCAGTATTTAGTTGGGCCTCCTTTGGCCTGTATTACTGCAGCAATGCGGCGTGGCATGGAGTCGATCAGTCTGTGGCACTGCTCAGGTGTTATGATAGCCCAGGTTGCTCTAATAGTGGCTTTTAGCTCTTCTGAATTGTTGGGTCTGGTGTATTGCATCTTCTTCTTCACAATACCCCATAGATTTTCTATGGGGTTAAGGTCAGGAGAGTTTGCTGGCCAATTAAGAACAGGGATACCATGGTCCTTCAACCAGGTACTGGTAGCTTTGGCACTGTGTGCAGGTGCCAAGTCCTGTTGGAAAATGAAATCTGCATCTCCAAAAAGTTGGTCAGCTGCAGGAAGCATGAAGTGCTCTAAAACTTCCTGGTATGTGGCTGCGTTGACCCTGGACCTCAGAAAACACAATGGACCAACACCAGCAGATGACATGGCACCCCAAACCATCACTGACTGTGGAAACTTTACACTGGACTTCAAGCAACGTGGATGAAGTGCCTCTCTTCTTTTCCTCCAGACTCTGGGACCTTGATTTCCAAAGGAAATGCAAAATTTACTTTCATCAGAGAACATGACTTTGGACCACTCACCAGCAGTCCAGTCCTGTTTCTCTTTAGCCCAGGCAAGACGCTTCTGACGCTGTCTGTGGTTCAAGAGTGGCTTGACACAAGGAATGCGACAGCAGAAACCCATGTCTTTCATACGTCTGTGTGTGGTGGTTCTTGAAGCACTCACTCCAGCTGCAGTCCACTCTTTGTGAATCTCCCCCACATTTTTGAAGGGGTTTTGTTTCACAATCCTCTCCAGGGTGCGGTTATCTCTCTTGCTTGTACACTTTTTTCGACCACATCTTTTCCTTCCCTTCGCCTCTCTATTAATGTGCTTGGACACTGAGCTCTGTGAACAGCCAGCCTCTTTAGCGATGACCTTTTGTGTCTTGCCCTCCTTGTGCAAGGTGTCGATGGTCGTCTTTTGGACAACTGTCAAGTCAGCAGTCTTCCCCATGATTGTGTAGCCTATAGAACTAGACTGAAAGACCATTTAAAGGCTTTTGCAGGTGGTTTGAGTTAATTAGCTGATTAGAGTGTGGCACCAGGGGCCATCAATTTTGAACCTTTTCACAATATTCTAATTTTCTGATATGATGAATTTGAGATTTTCATTTGTTGTCATTTGTAATCATCAAAATTAAACAAAATAAACATCTGAAATATATGAGTTTGTATGTAATGTATGAATATAATATACAAGTTTCACTTTTTAAATGGAATTACTGAAATCAATCTACTTTTTCATGATATTCTAATTTTATGACCAGCACCTGTATACACACATGAATGTCAGACAGATGGTATCGGCTGATGCTGCACTGCCAGGTACCGGGTATCGGGGCCAAAAAATGGCATTGGTGCAACATTAGTATAAACTGGGAAATGTTTATTATAATAAATGCTAAATTAAATATATAATTAAAGACATTTATTTAAAAGGAAAGAGTTGGTTTTGATTAAGCTGCTCCAAGCTTTCTCTCTACCTCTGAGCTGCTCTGTGCTGGAGATTAGTTAGAGTTACAGTAGTTAGCTAAACCAGCTATTATATTGAAGAAGCAGCAAGGACATGTTATGAAATGTCGATTAAAGTATTATATAACACAGCATGAGGTCATAATGTCGTCCAAATTCCCGTTCTGATATTTTGGCTTCTGTTTAAGTGTTTCTTTTTAAATGAGCCATAATATTGTTCCTTTGAACGCCAATCAGCCTGTTTGATTTGCTGTTTCTGTTTGCCTTCCACAGCGTGCGGTCGTGGTTTCTACAAGTCGTCCTCTCAGGACCTCCAGTGCTCTCGCTGTCCGGCGCACAGCTTCAACGACCGCGAGGGCTCATGGCGCTGTGACTGTGAGGACGGCTACTACCGAGCGCTCTCCGACCTGCCATCTGTAGCCTGCACAAGTGAGTCTGCCAGGCAGTCGCTGAGGCTAAAAAAAGAAAAACCCTGTGAAGCCACATGCAGGGGGGTGGGGGGTGGGGACACAGTCCAGAGCCCTAATCCAGACCCCGTTGAGTCATTTTGCTGCGGTCTCATGAAAGCTCCAGATGTGTTCTCTAGCAGCTCGTCTGCCTCCCAGCATGTCATCATAATTATGTTTGCAGGCTTGGGTGTCTGTTTTCTGTCTTAGCTTGTTGCTAATGATGAGAGGAGCAATTTGCCATTTCCCGTCTGAAAGATTGCAATTACAGTCGGCAGCGGCAGCCCACGCAGCAGCCGTCCTTTGTCCTGGCTGGGGTGGCGCTTTGGTGACAGCCATTGACGGCTTGTTTACACAGGATGGGGGATTCAGGTTGAATTGGAGGAGCTCATTTACTTCCAGCTCCCACTCTCAACATATTTATTTCAAAGTGTTGTTTTTTTTTTTTTTGTTGCTTTGCCGTCAGCTACTGTGCACGGGGGAGTGGCGCTCACCAGCAGGACCGTGTTAGCACCCTGCTTTATCTCTGTGGGTAAACAGGACCCCTTAATGAAATCTTTGGGCCTTTATCTGTGTGCCTTCTCGCTGCTGATAATGTATCACAGGGCCCGCGATTTGGCCTGCAGGCACCTTGCGGCTGCACATACTTTTCTGGCATTCATTATGTTAATTTTGCCCCGTGCATCTGTTGATTCCAAACAGCTGAAACAGCTGTGCATGTGCAGCCGGTACACATGCCCAGTCCGCGCTGATGAGCAGGGCTGCTTTTCCCAGTTCACACAAACTAGGCCAAGTCAGAATTTCTAATGTGACGACGGGAGGCAGCAGGAAAGTTATCTGACGTAACGCTAAGCAGTGTGGAGCATTGCACCGCCTTGTCTGTGCGCTGAATCAGAGCATCAGGAGAGGATTTAATGGATTGGAGTTTGGAGTTGATGCTGGATCTAATATGCAAGAACTAATTCCTCCATCTTTAGGAGCTTTTTCTCATTGAGCAACCTGTTTGTTTGTGTCTACCTGCCCTAAAACTCTGCTTCTGTAGAGTTTAAATGTTAAGGAACCTTAATGCTAATCACAGTTGGACTCTTTTATGTAAGTGGAAATATGCCAGCAGGAAGATATACATTTGCATGATGGTGAAATTCTTGCAGGAGGAAAACCTATAATTGGAATAAAATAAGGTGATTTAGTTCTCCTCATTGCAAGAATCTCTACAAACAGTACCTCTAAAATCTCCAACCTCTGTGTCAGCGCTTTGGCTGCTGTCTTCTTCTGGTGCACCCGAGGAATTTGGACTGGGAGCATTTGGGTGTGTCTCGGTCTCCTCCCCCAAGTGTAGCAGCTAGTCCAGAGAGTCAGGCATTCCCTTTCTTGTCCAAGTGTTCTGCTAGGCTAGGATGAATTACTGACTGACAATGACACAGCTTAGGAAAGGACTGTTGCACTGCACCATCATTCAGCCTCAAGCAGATCTGAACATGTGCTGTAATGAATACGAGTCCTTTAAAGTGCTGACATCCACATTACAGGCATGGTGTAAGCTGCTGGGTTTCTTGCACAAATCTAACATCACTTGGACCGTGATGGTTTAACTAAAAATCCAGTAGCACCAAACATTAGCTTTATTCGCTTTTCAATTTGCTGAAAAACAATAGGAAAACTAAAACGTTGAAGCTTATTAGAGGTTTAAGTTGGAGATACAAGAAGCTGGCATGTTTGGACATGCAGCATCTGTTAGGTTTAATGATTGCACCGTTTCTCACTTCACAGCTACTCATATCATTAATAACTCCCCTGGCCCCTTCTACTTTAACCCCTAAAAGCCAACACTTGCTACACTGCTAGCACACAACTATGCTCTCTACAATTCAATTTGGTTTATTTCTACAGTGCCATCTAATGGCACTAACTAGTACCAGTTTAGAGCGGTTTAGTTGTGTCTGGCACGGTCTGGTTCAGTTGTGCGTGCCGTTTTCACTCTACAGATATCTCACTGCAAAAAATCTCAATCTTGATAAGTAATTTTTTCTTAAAATAAGTACATTTGTTCTTGAATTGAGGAGGTAAAAGAGACATTTGCCAATGGAACAAGACAATTTACACTTAAAATAAGAAAACACAACTGCATTGTCTTATTTCAAGTGCATTTTATCTAATTATCGTATTTTAAGAGTAAAATTATTCATTCGATTGGCAAACTCAAATTAAGTCTGAATACACTTAATTTAAGAATTGTTTACTTATTTCTAGATCGTTTTTGCAGTGGTGGAAATGTAGTGGAAATGAGGCTTAAGTCTATGTGTTTTGAAATGCCTTAAAGTGCTTTTCCAAGAACACCAGTCTATAAAATGCTTAGGACTTAAGGCAGGGAGTAAGTTTGTTATGGAGGCAATATCTTTAGCCTCAAAACATTTAGTTTCATTCTTTCAGGAGTTTTTATTTAATATTAACTGAACCTATTTTTTACAGAACATGTCCAGGGGTTGACGTTAAAGGAATAGTACACCCAAAACATGATTAGCCTTCATTTTCTACTCACCTCCATGCTGAACAACACTCTGGAGTACTTTTTTGATATCTCAAATGCATCTGGAGATCTGGGAGGCTTCTTGCTGTCTGCTGACATTCAAATAATGGAGGTCCATGGCGCCCGAGACAGAAAGGTCCATAAAAGTCCACAAAAACGTGTCAATATTCCTCCATACTGCTCGTCCAATGTATTCCAAGTTTCCTGAGTGGGTAGCATCCAGAATTTACTCGAAACGAAGTCATTTAGAATGTTTTTAGAGCATAAACAGTAGTGTATAGGATTTCCTAATAGCGCCCCCATGCGCGCTCACGATTCTACGGAAGCCGGCAGACCAAACCAGCGCATTCAGCTCGGCAAAGAACTCATGCTCTTCCTCAACACTGAAGTCCTCAGACATTTTTCTTTCGTTGTTTCTTTCTTTGCACAGGTAAACAGCACATTTCTTCTTCTACGCTTGCATTATCGGCAGACCAGACGCTGAATGCGCACTTTCTTCCGGTTTGGTCTGCCGGCTTCCGTAGAATCGTGAGCGCGCATGGGGGCGCTATTAGGAAATCCTATACACTACTGTTTATGCTCTAAAAACATTCTAAATGACTTCGTTTCGAGTAAATTCTGGATGCTACCCACTCAGGACACTTGGATTACATTGGACGAGCAGTATGGAGGAATATTGACACGTTTTTGTGGACTTTTATGGACCTTTCTGTCTCGGGCGCCATGGACCTCCATTATTTGAATGTCAGCAGACAGCAAGAAGCCTCCCAGATCTCCAGATGCATTTGAGATATCAAAAAAGTACTCCAGAGTGTTGTTCAGCATGGAGGTGAGTAGAAAATGAAGGCTAATCATGTTTTGGGTGTACTATTCCTTTAAGGATTTTTACCACTTGCCTTTTGGGCAAGTGACTTTCACGTTTCATTTTCCCAGAAATAATTTTTACTTGCCCAGTATAATGTTTGATAAATATAGTTCCTAATATTCAGACATGGGAAGTAACGAAGTACAAATACTTCGTTACTGTACTCAAGTAGATTTTTCTGATATTTTTACTTTACTTTACTACTTATTTTTATGGCGACTTTTTACTTCTACTCCTTAAATTTTTACACAAATATCTGTACTTTCTACTCCTTACATTTTAAAAAATTGTCTCGTTACTTTAGTTTTGAATCATTTCAATGGAGTTACCGTTATTATTTTTCACGTCATCAATACCAAATTCAATCTAATTGGATGGGAATGTACGTTGCATTTGACGCACCACTACAAGATGAATCGACAGATTCGGCGGTATTCATTGGCGGCAAATCATTGCAGCTTGGTGGCGGTGGCGTTAGCATAGCAGTATGGACGACGAGATAATTGGAAATGAACACAACGGAGATCTAGTCCTATTGGCAGACATCCATTTAAAATGTAGGCAACGGCATGAAAAAAGTGGTTTCTACTTTTACTTTTATACTTTAAGTAAATTTACAAGCCTGTACTTTGTTACTTTTACTTGAGTAAATAAGTTTAATCAGTACTTCCACTTTTACCAGAGTATTTTTTAACACAAGTATCTGTACTTTTACTCAAGTACGGAAAGTGAGTACTTTTGCCATCTCTGCTAATATTCATTTTTGTATACATATCAATGAAACATGTTTGTTTTTTAAATGTTTTTTGTAATGCAGTATTTTTTAAGTTTCCAGGTTCCTGGTGTGTATCTGCATGCGTCAGATAATGAACTCCAGCCTCCATTACCGTGTTAACATGCTTTTCAATCCTTCCTGCACATTCTTTTCAAACTAAACTTTGCTTTAAACTGTTGTGTGCTTGGAAAAATATAAATTGTAATGTTAAAAATCTAAAAAAAACTTGACAGGTTAAAAACTTAAGATAAATCACAAGACAGAAGTCAATGTCACAAATGAATAACTTTTATTTTAGAGTCACGGTATGTTTATACAAGATAATACTATTAATATAATGTGACTTTTCTAGAGAATCATTATACATAGTTATTTTATTCAGGGTTTCCACAGTCTGACATCATTTCAGAATTCCCTGACTTTTAACTGACTCAGGATTAGTTTTCCCTGACAAAATAAATGCAGCAACAAGACAATAATAATAACATAACAGGTCACCAATTTAACATGTGTAGCTCTATAACATTTAAATGCACCTCTCCAATGTCTGAGAGAAAAAAATTAATGAACATTTTTAATGTATGACCTGCATCACTGTACAGAAGACTGCCATATGATGCCGTTTTGGTAACTACATCAAAATTACTGCTAGGTGGACAAAAATCAGTAACCTGACTCCGCCAGATGGATTTGCTCCACATATCCATCTGGAAACCTTCCGTTGAAGTAATTTTGGGAAGGGGCGAAAATACTGGTTAGCTGATTGGCCTATGTTGGTGATAGACGGGCCAAATAAACCAATCAGATCAACGAAAC